TTACATGAAATAAAAACTCTTTCAGGCAAGATGGAAATATTTAGCGTTACAAGTAGCCTAATCGAGCTCAAAACGACAATATCTTTGCAATTATAAGGAATTTAACAACAGATAATACGATAAGTAGCTATCTCTATCTAAAGGACTCAAAAGTTTGATGTGAATGGTTATCAGAAAAATCCTTAGTCTACAAAGTTAGAGTAAAATATATATATGTAAAGTAAAAGAACTAGACTTAAAAATTGCTATTTAATTCAGCTGATAAAACGAAATCGGAGTAGATACAAAGCAAAGTAAAGCTTTTACCTTTAGAGTCAAACATTTTCCATGGAAAGTCATAATGTTTGATAACGCGAAGCATAGTAAAGTAAGAAGACCACGTTACATGGGAAACTATAACATCGGAATAAGCAGGTAAAATCTTGATCAAGGCAGAGCAGGAAGGCCTCAACTCCGTAAACCGAACCCCATGTTCGTTTTTCGCAGATAGTAATTCATTTAAACCAAATGCTTCTAAGATTTCTCCTAGGTCACCAGAAAGCTGCAGTAAACTGGGTCCACATTTGCATAGAAGAGAAAAAAGTTTGGCACATAACTGGTAAAGTACGAACAAATATTTTAATACGTAAAATTTCATATATCGATTTTTGAATTGTAAACGCTGTTTAACTCATATGACAGACTGCTGATTTTTCGCTGATGTAAGCTAGGGCAAAGTAATCTTGATCAAATCAGTCCAAAGTTCAGATGAATCGACCAGGATTAGGATATAATCGAAAGGCTTTTTTCCTAACGTCCCAAGCACTAGTAGTTTTATCATCAAACCTTGATGGCCAAAAACAGACGTTCCTTTTTGCTGTTTTAATTACTTTGACCCACAACTACGGGTTTCATGCATAAGCGAACACAAACAGGAACATACTTACACAGAGGCAGACACACTCACATGCATCGAAGTTGACATATGACCTTAACTAACCAAATCAGTTAATATTTTATCAGAGGACAGATATAGAGTATATATATACCACTTTTTAGTGATTTGCAGGTGAGTTTTTTTGACTCGTTAGCTTGAATTTGGTTGTGACGATGATACCTTGCTCTGATGATATTCGTCTAACTCGCAAGCCTGAATTTTGTTGTGATGTTGTTACCTCGCTCTGATGATGTCCGTCATATGACGGACGATCAAGCCTGAATTTTGTTGTGATGTTGTTACCTCGCTCTGATGATGTCCGTCATATGACGGACGAAAGCTCACACCTTTTCACCGGAATCGAAGGAGATTACCTCGGAAACAGCGTCAACATGAATCATCCAGTAAAGTCAATCGACAGCTGGTCAAGAGGAATCCGCCGTGATCTTCTAATGGAACCGACCTTCGAATCTCTTCACCCAACACTTTCACTTGAAATGGAATTAAGCTCAACAATGATCTGACATGAAGCTGACGACTGATTTCCGTTGTTCTGCAGTTGGTTAGCTTTAATACGATGTTCAAGTTGACCC